AAAAAACCGGTGTTTTATGTTGTATTTCATGACCGTAAAATATTAAAACGCTAAATATAATATTTTTTTTAATTACTTCGATCTAAATTAATTCAAAATAATGAAAAAAGTAGGAAAAATATGTTTCATAAAATTCTGCGTCAAAGGGTTAAAAAAAATAATTGCTTAATTATAGCGTTGTATATTTTAATAATAATTAACTCTCCCAGCTATAACAAATTGAACAACAAATAATTTAAAGCAAACAGAAATATTTTATTTATATTTGAAATGATCTTATAATGATATCAGAAACAGAATTTTTTTTTTGTAAAATCCTTAATACATGTTCTATTGCTTTCATCACAATGGACAATAGTAACTGCTTTTTTCCAAGAAACTTATTATTTACAGTTGAATAAATCTATATTGGCAAAAACTATTTTTCACAATGTCACACATGTTTCAACATTCATGCTGTATATTTACATATTATGTTTTATTTACATATAAACAATACACCTGAATACAAACATACACATTTATGTATATTGTCTGATTAAGCCATAGTGTGTGTTATAATAATACCAAAAAATGGTAGGTTTAGAATATCGTTATCAAAAGACTTGATTTAGAGAGCATTGCATTTGTTTATATTTCAAAAACATTTTTAATGAAAGCGTGTGTTTTTGAAGAAAGATTACCATTTATAAAACAATCTATGTTTTATAAACGAATTCATTAATTATGAAGAAACTGAGTTATTGTAAAATGAAATGAATAATTCGTAGTTGTTATTAAGTTTTTACAATTAAATTTTCCTAATTGAAGTAAAATAAGTACAAAAATTGAGTATTCTTATTATCTGCATCGAGTACTCTCTTAACGCAGAAATGAATTCAAACTCATCATATTTTATTTATTACAAACTAAGTTTTTATTTATTTCAAGCTGTTAGTAGGGAGCTTCGCATTGATCTAACACAATACGAGCGCTTCTAAGCAACGCGTCAGAACCGACGGGGATTTCCTTAAAAGCACCAACGAAACTATGTTCAACTTAAAAAATGAAGCGAAAACTATCAAAATATTCACCTGTTTGTTTTTAGAACCAAAATTTTTTTCGACGTCCAATTTTGAATTAAATCTTCCTTTTCCAGGATACCTTTTAAACTGGTTTGAATAATATCGAATTTCATGTTAACCACATTATAGTTGTGTCTCAAAAGAGGCCTCAGTATTGAAGACATTATAAACATGTAACAGTCAGACAGTATACGAATTGGAAGGATGTCTTTAGTCACGCAGGAGTAAGAATGTTACAGTAAATAAATCTCATGTAATATTTAAGTAATTATAAATACTAAGCATAAAATTATTCTTGGGGAAAATATATGCGCAGGAATGTGATAAATCAATATGAACAATTCAATATTATTACTTTATTTACATTTATGATTTCATCCAGTGTGAAGTTTCCAAAACATCAACTGTATTCTGTAATATGGGTAAGATACTTGAGTTCTATAAATTAAGTGGCCATGCAATTAAGGGGAATTACTGGAGCACCTCACCTCAAAGTTAGGAGAAGCCTGAATTTGCTGAATATGTTTTTGCGACATATTATGATTTTAACAAACCAAAACTAAAAAAGTATAAAAAAAACTTTATTTCGGATGCTTCATTATTTTTTTCAAAAAGGTTTTAACATCATTTTTTAAAATTTTAAATCAAATATGTAAAGGGTACAACGCAAACTGGAATTAAAAAAAAAATTCACATTTACTTTTTATCATATTTTGTATTTACTCTTGATAATCCGTTGACCTCCTGATAAAATATTGGAACAGACTTATTGTTTTTAATAATCTGATTTATAACGCATTGTGTATGATTATTGTCAGACTCGTGCCGTCATAAATTTTCATACAGTTTTTATGACTACATAGTTTCATGCATTCATGTAAATATCAGCTTGAAAAATCACACAAAGCAAAAATGTCATACATACTGTATTCAAATACCTCTAATTTAAAAAAAAAATTACTAACAGAAAAATATTTCAAATTTCACGGCATTTTCTTTCTCACAATTTTATTTCCCAATACATTGTTAATTCCTCTGATAAATCCACAAATTCCATCCTACTTCCATAATTAAAAAAAAGTTAAACAACTATGCCAGTGGCAAGTTACATTGCTTCAGTATCTAATTAATATCCATTGTTCATATTTACTCTACCTGCCCAATTACACTTCAATTGCTGTCCATAACCGATGCCTTCACGATTCGTTTAACATGGCTCCCTTCCAAACTTTGAAGCACCTGGATCAGATTCTATTGATAGAGGGCTACTAATTAGAGATCCCTAATTAGTTGGATAGAATAGGGCAATGTCTCATTCGAGGAAGGAAATGAAGTTGCTTACAACTCCCAGGGAAGGACAGTCGAATGAATTTTGAAACATAGAATATTTAACAGTTCATGATTTACGCATGGCAGAGGTTGTTAAATTATATAAAAATGATTCTTTTGTAGGAAAGTTTATTCGTTTCAAAATTAAAACAGGTTAAAGTTTTGAAATTAAAATACGAGTGAAAGTTTGAACTGTTTATTCATGGAGTAATTATTGTGATCTGTTTAAAACACATTGCAGTTGATTTTATAGAAATTTAGTTGGCTCAATTATGTTAAAGAATAATATTTGAGCTATATGTATGAATTGATAAATTTTGGAACCAGAGTTAAGAGAGAGATGACTGCTATTAGTATTATTTTTTAAAAAAAAACCTAATTAAAATAAAAAAGTCTCAGATTTCTCATGCATGAAAAAAATGCATTTAAAGAATGTGATGACATATGAACGTTGTTTTAAAAAATAAAAGTCAATATATTAAATCTAAAGTTTACCTGGATTTATCTTCACTAATTACTCGAGAATAGGAGCACACTGATTTGGATCGGGTTTTTTTCCCAGCACTTTGCAAATTTTCAAAGGGGGGAGGTTTAAGCAATCACCTTTTTCTAATGTTATGCGCTTCGGGCACCTCAAGATTTATGAAATTTCACTGATGAAAACCATTGTCATAAATTTAATACTTTTTTACTGTTTCCAAAGTATTCTTTTAACTTATAAAAACTAGGTTCGTTTCGTTGGAAAAAGTATCACAAATGAGATTCTTTGGCTAACATAGTTAATAATAACGAATAAGAGTGCAGTTTGAATTTAATCATTTGATTGATCACTTGATACTATTTGAATCATTATTTATGAAAAGCACCCTTGAGGTAATTAGTATATTTTTTTAATGTAAGGCATATTATTTTAATGTTAGTATTAAATATTTTAATAATAAATCCACGATACCGTACAAATTGTAAAATACGAAAATTAAATCCACTCTCTCTTAAGCAATATGAGTTTACTAACATATTGCCTAGATTTTTTAAGACTGTACGATTTTAAATCCTGGTATGCTTGAAATTCTATTTATTTAAAAAGGAGGATCAGCTGGTTCCTTAATAAATTTTTTAGTTCCTTTAATTTAAAAGTTGCTTCTTTTTTGTTTAAAAAATAAATTTCTTTTAAATTTCGTTCGTATTTTAATTTCACTAGTTCTTATTGTTAAAAAAATCTCAAAATCTAAGCAAAATCGTTTTAATTATTTAAAAAATGCAATTTATTTTGAAATCTAATGTCATTGTTTGGAAAAATACAAGATAAAAATAAATAAATTTAAGAAAAAGAAATTGATAAATAAAAATGTGGATTACCGTGAGTTTTTATAGGCAAAATTGCTTCATCAGGCAATTTCACAAAATTAATGTTTGTTTGACTAGTTAAAAATTGAGAATATGTAGAATTCATGCATTATATTATTCATTTTTAGAACGATTCTTGTAAAAATATACCCAGATTTTAACAATCACACTCTTGCACTTATTAAGATTTTATAAAAGAATAAATAAAGGGAGAAAAACGAAGAGTGTATTTAACTTATCAAACAAAAACTACCTAACGCACTTATAATATTCACCGATCAAGCTTTTTGGAGGTTAGGGAGCTGACCTAATGCCAGACAGGTCCCGGGTTCTAATCCCGGTCAAAGACATGGATGTTCTTTCCTTCTTATCTATGCCATCTGTCCTTCTTACTGGGGGATATCATTGCATATTTAATAGGGTGGCCCCTAAAAAAGTGATTCTTCTGATATCCTAATGATGGGTCATGCCAACCCTCAGTTTATGGGTTGGCTTTGGAAAAATGAAACACTCAGCTATCGAACTGCATTAAAAAATAAAATATTTTATCATGGAACATTTAAAGATAAAAAATAAAACTTTAATGGTAAATCCCAACATGGACATTGGTCGATTCACCAAATTCATCACTAAGAATTGAGTATTTGTTCTATTCCCTCCGCCTATGTTATATAAATCAAAGCTGTAATGATAAAAAAATATAGGTTGGTGCAAATGATTTAAAGTCGAGGAATTGAATTGAATTGAATGTAGGGTTTACTGGCACAAGGTCCACAAAGCACATTACAATTTTATTAAAAAGTAATAATAAAAAACTTAATTAAAAGTTTCGTGTCTTCATTCTTTCATTTATATCATAACTTTCTTTTATTCATTTATTTTTGAAAATCTAGTTCAAATGGTAAAGATGAAGCTTTGTAAGTTTTCTGATGAGAATTCTTAACCCATTGTAATATTTACTTTCTCATCTAAGCAGTCAAACATATTTTTCTGGAAATGATGTACTACTTTCACATTTTCAAGGCAGTCTCTGGATTTTTTGACTTAAGTTTTACATGTTATGCTGCATTTCATCAAACCTATTTAAACCTATTTTCAATTAAAAAAAAACTTTTTCACCAACCTAATTAGCGATACCCCAATTCTATACAATGTTTAATCACTATAGGCTGAAAATTTGAATTTTTTTTTTTTTTTTTTTAAGANTTTTTTTTTTTTTTTTTTTTTTTTTTTTTTTTTTTTTTTTTTTTTTTTTTTTGGAAACACTTAGAGAAATTTTTAATTCAAAATATGAACATTCGAAAGAGAAAGTTAGAATAATTTCTTATGAACAAGAATTTCTTATTTAATTTATGATATGATAAAAGCATGACTAGAATGCAAAAATAAAGTATTCTCTTAATTTTTCAATATTTGGCGCGGCATATAATTTATAAAACATCTTTGGCATATCTAACGGAAGATATTTACAAACATTAACGAAGAATAATACTTTTTCATTAAACGTAACAATTTTTTTCATTTACTTAAAAGCAAAATATGCATCTACGAGTTATCTTCATGTTGTGAAAATGAATTGCCAAATCATATTAATTGATTCATCACACAAAACAAATTATTACTCAAGCTAGAACTCTATTCTTTACATAAAAGATCACAGGAAACTTAAAAATTAATAGTTAAAATATTCATAGTGTTATAATACTTTAAGTCCCTAAAGAACACATTCATCTCAGTGAAAACAATTTACTTGAACTTTATGAAGCAAGAAATGCTTTTTTTTAAAAAAAAATTTATTATTTTTTTTTAACTATTACTAAAACTTGAATGATAAAGTGGTTTAGAAGACACCATAGGCAGATAAAAAGGAGATAGTAAAGAAAAAACTATGTTTCATTAGCCAGAATAAGATATAAAGTTTTATTAATAAATCAGTTTGCTGGTAATCAAAGTATTATAAACCAATATGAAAATCTTAACCACTTATTGACAAAGCTGTTGAATCCTTTTTATTGGTAACAGATTGCTGAGGCAAATCTTTTGAGTGATTTTCACAATATTTATAATAATTTTCACATAATTAGAAAACACAAAAAGGACTTAAATCAAATAATTTCAATAATAAAACAAGGCTGTATTTTTCGTAAATTGGCAGAAGAGTCGTATGGAGAGTTTAACAAGACTAATGCATACAAATTCAGCGTAAGAATTTTTAATATATTTTTTTTAAATGGATATATTCATATATTAATCCTAAATTGATTTGATATGCTTCAGTCTATTTCTTGCTGAATTACTACCGAACATTTTGTATATGTTCATGATCTACAAAATGTATTGCTGTTAAGAAATATTTAAATCCTACGATTCACGCACAAAAAGTATTACGGCCATCCGAAATTCCTACCCACCATTTGATAAAACTTCATGTTAAAAGGTCTGTAAAAGTCTCTCAACCTTTGAATAGTTGATAATGATATATCTGGATGAGCTCGTCCTTTGGTTTTGCCTAAACAATGCGGATTACCACTGCCTTCGGATTTCTTCAGGCAGGGGAATCCTTTAGTTTCATTGAAATAAAAATGTTTGTCTGATATGACTTGTTTCAAGCCCAGGAAGTCCTGGACTTTTCCCATTTCCCCAGCAGGATCTCGTATTAGATTTTCACCACTGATAAAATGTATTCTGTCTAAACTGAAATATCTAGTCCACCACTCTAGAAATCTGGCGTAAACTCCTATTCGGATGGCACTCCAGGACGTGTCCACAAGTCCAGTACTAACGTTGAGGAAGGCCATGTCCTCAAAAGACGGAGTGTCTTTTCGCTTACTCGTGGATTGAGTATAGTCAGAAATGGCTCTGGTGACGGGATCTCGTACGACTACCAGTAAGCGGACGGACGGTGACATGGCGTGTATTCGGGGCGGAACTTCTTTAGTAATAAAGTAACTCGGAGTTTTCTCCATAGTAATCTGTCCTTCCAGACTCGTAGGCATTTGTTGCCTGTAAAATAAGAAAATTTTTTTTAATCACAATAAATAGTTATTGAAATTAATAAATATTTAAATAAATTTTTTGGCTTTGATAATAAGAGAAGGGAAAAAATACTTATTTCATGTTAGAAATTGAAACATTCACTAGGGACTGTCTTTGTAAATAAAATGAGCGTTTCAAGGTTATGTAATTTCCACACTATCAAGACTCTAGATTCGTCCGTTACCATAGTACCCGCAAATCTCTCTTTTTCCCCAAGCCAGTATATTATTATTTTAATAATATATAGTGATAGATACTCTTTAACTGCCTTTAGAATAAAAAAGAGTTGAGTTGCTGCCTGCCACATCGTTACCAAGGTATCGAAGAAAGTGTGATCTTGAAACGACAATTTTATTTACAGAAAGCATAAATAATTACATTATAAATTCAAAATATTATTAGATATTGCAGTTCAAGGAAGTCGATTACTTCCTAACTATGTTTTCTTTTCAAGCACAAGCAATGTAATTTTTTTATGTCTAAGAAGTCTCATGTTTTAAGCACTAGAAATCTAGAATCATCATAAGTACAAAAAAAAAATTCAAACATTACAGGTCAATTTGGTGACTGATTCGTGACAAGACATTTCAGTGATGGGTGCAATTCAAATACGCTGCACACAAATAAAAAATCCCAAGAATTTTATGTGTCTGACATCACTGTGACGTCATCTCTCATAAAATTATTTACCTCATAATTAATGAACACCGCATCGTCGCTTTGAAACTAAACAGTGGTAACTCAAAAAAGCAAGTTTTTCAAGAGAGCGATTTCTAACTTTTCAAGAAGGCGAATCGCTCCAATGCGATAACGATTTATCTGCTCTCTAAATTAATTTTATGGAACTTATGAAGATAACACGTTGTTTTTCTAAAAGGGTGATTTTCTTTACACAAAATGACCCAAACATCTCATTTTTCGATTTTTTTGAGTTACCACGGTTTAGTTTCAAAGCGACGACATGAGTTAGTTCCCAAAATTATAAAAAAAATAACTCACAAATGGCTCGAAGAAATATTTAGCATTTTTATTCAATGACCAGAATGAAAGTATTATTTAAAAATAGCGACAAAGTCAGACATATAATATTACTAATACAAATTTAATTTAAATACTCTTCATTATAAACTCATTTAAAATGCATTTTACATTATGTTTTGGGAAAAAAAGAGAGCATCTTGTGTCATGACGTTTGAATATAAAGGATAAAAATGTGATATCTGCTTTAAAATATAACTTGTTAGAGGCAGACAATTTTATTTACAATTTGCGAAACGAAGTAAAATCTAAGGAAAAAACTGCTCGCAAACAAACATTTTTTTTTTCGCCTTGTATTATTAAACTGAACAAACTTTAGATTACATTCGATAGTTTTTTGGAGGGAGAAATAAAAAGAAATATTTATATTCTAAAAGATGTATTGATAAAAAAAAAAGTGGAACGGGAATAGAAAAAAAATGTTAGCAAAAGAAATCATAAGCAAGACGTAGAAATCTTCTACAACATATCGAGATGACCCTTGAAAAATCTACTTTCTTCTTGAATGATGGTAATTCCAAAAGCAGAGAGCGAATTTTCCAACCGTCATTTTTCATTTCACAAAGTTATGGAAAATAGCTCTTCCCACCATTCCTTCTCGTGTCCCTTTTCCTAAAGGTGCGTTGAGTTGTAGCTTATCTGATAAGAAAACGGAATGAAATATGTTTGATATGTGGAACAAAAGGAAGCAAAGGGAAAAGAAAAACAGAAGGTAAAATATTTCGCGAACGTGGAATTTTATACTAAGTACATACAGCACACAAACTCGTATGAGGACGTATTTTATTTTATGAATACCACCTAAAAATATCGTCTTTTTTTGGCATTGCCAACTCGTAAGCGCAAAAGTTAGAGAATGTTGGAAATTATTTGTATATTCCTTAAAAATACTAATCACGTTCCTTTAGATCTGTCTTTCTCTAATGTTAAAATGTTGGAATGCTTGGGGTTTACATTTCAAAAAAGAAATAAATAATACTGGAGATTGATTGTTGAAACTAAAGAAAAAAAATGGCAAAATGGAATCATCTTTTTAATAGTCAGTTTTTAACATCAGCATTAGATTAAAAGTGTTCTTTTGAGTTTTGAATTGTTTTGAAGCAAGCATAAGTTATGTAAATTTGGAAAGCAAATTTTAACAAATTTCATATATAGGTCAGTTCCTGAGTACTTCAGTGCGGAAATAATTAGAAAAAAGTTGGAAAGTGTTTTTTAATGTGTGGTTTCGGCCGAATATGGATACCTAAAGTTTGACTTTTCACTCAAAGTGAGCTGTAGCTGCCATTTTGAATTTACTGAGGAGTAGAGGGATCAGAAAGGGAAAAACTTCACTGAATAAGTGAGGAATTGCTTTCTCTGAAATATTTAATTTTAATCTGAAATTCATATCTAAGCAAATAAGGTATTCTCTTAACCACATTGAATAGAATAAAAACCAAAATAATTTATACGACTAATAGTTTAAGATTTATAAAGTATTATGTATGTGAAGTTAAGTTTCGTAAATCCTATGTATGACATTGTATGCCATACCTATTTGATTATCTGGCATATACTGAAAAGCAAAGTATTGGATGCCATATGCTTTTTACGCTAAATACAATGAAATCAAAATTAAGTTAATAGAACGAAAGTTTAATAAGTTATAAAAGTTTGAAATATTGAAAATATAGTTTTCTGTTTATACATTTTTAAACACAAAACCCCAGTGACTTAAAAATTTATTAGTTCTACCGACTTACTTTTGATTTTATTGAACTTAACGTTAATAAGTACATAAAGAAAATAATGCCTCACTTGTCTAAATTTAATGGTAAGATGCATGAATATGTATAAGAACAAATATTGCAAATTTTATTCAATGTTCAACGCAATACTCAGCTTATCTGCATTACTTATATGCGCTGAACTCAGCTGTCGCGAAACTAGAAAATCAATCATACAGTTATAAAAAGAAAAAGTAATTGAGTTTTTTTTTGTTTCATACTCTCTATAAACAAATTAAAAAAGGTCTCTTGCTTAAAATTAAATTTTCAGAATCGATGAATGAACAATCAAATAGATGCTCAATTAAGCTAAATTAATATTCACGCTTTTCATCACTAATTTACCACGAGCGGTAGTCAATTAAATTGTCACAATCTCCCCAGTGAAGAAATTTTTCATTCAGTTGAATCCCCCCCCCTTTAGAACGTAAAAACCATTCCTTCATCTCTCAAAACAGTTTAAATTCTCATTGCGTTCCGTGTGAGAAGTAATTAGCATTGGAACGCTAATAGAATTTGACAAACGAGAGAGTTAAAAATCCTCATTTTTCATCACCTTAATCACCATAGCAAAATGGAAATTAAAGAGCTTTCATGAAACAATTAGTTCGAGAAGTTGGACTTTTCTTGCGAACTGCTAGAGTTAAGCACTTCGCAAAAGACGCATCTGTCACTTTTGTGAGTATTGATTGGGCGTCATTGTTGAGCATCAGCTGGCAAACTTTTAATCACCTCCTATACTCTACCGATGGCGAGAAAAAAAATTCAAAAGCATTGATTTCAATTGATGTGCCGATACATGTCATATTTATAAATTTTAAAAGTAATAACATATATTAAGTACCATTAAATATTGAGAAAATATTTTAGGTACGTTTTTTATGTCATAATTATATTCCTTTATAATAATTCTAGTCTCGAATGCATATTTTTTATATATTACACAAAATTAATTATTTGTGTGATATATCGTAAGTAAATGAACGTAGTTTCAATTCAGAACAGAAAAATATTCTAGCTGCATGCATATGCAACAACAATGGAACAAATGCATTTTACACTTCTATTGTCATTTCTTTTTCTTGTAAATTCTAAAATTAATGTTTGGTATTTACAGCAATTGTGACATGTTTACTGTAGCTACCATTAAAAGTGTAGAGTTTTCTGGAAATACCTAATTTAGTGTATTTTTATGGTGTAGGAAATGTACGCGATTCAAATGGGTAAAGTTCTACTTTTAAGTAAAATTGTCTGATTATCAGTCTCAAAACTTAAATGCACCTGCATGGAGTTCCAGTGATGACAGTATCTATACACCTTCCATTTTATATTCCAAAATTGTCGAAGTATTTCTAAAAGCCGAAATAAATTTTTCACCATTTGTTTTATTTATTTTATTGTAAAATTTGTACAAGATGTAATTGAATCTGGAACTTTATGTCATATTTTTCTATCTTTAAGAATAATAAATTTTATAAAAAAAATTTGTATTGATGAAGTTATTTAAATATGATTGCTTTTATGAAAAAAGTCAAAAAAGTGTAAATTTATGCAATGTAAAATTTGTGCTTTCTATGGTAAAGACGTTTTTTTTCTCAGAAAGCACAATGTTAAATTTTCTGTTTTTCAAACAGGAATAAAGTACGCAACTACTGTTGTAAATTATATCCTATGTATGTTTTTCAATAGAATAAGCATTGAATTTTCTAAAAAAATTAATTACTTCCTTTCAAAATAAATAATAGTATTGAAATACAATATTTCAAAATACACTATTGTAATTATAATTAGGAATAAATTATGAAATGTATACTAACATTTATGACCTTAACTAAGCAAACTGGGTGTTTCATATTTAGTTAACTAAAAATAATTACATTGTGCGAAGTCCATAACTGTTTCATATGGCAACCGGAATAAAGTTATTCCGTCTCAATAGTTTCATATGACAACAAACAATTTTCAACGTACTGCAACATTCCGAAAACATGAAACACTACAGTAAAGGTTGAAGCCCTTTAAAATACGCTAAAACACCATTGTTTATTGTCGTTCGAAGACATTTTCCCGCAAATTTCGGGAGAAAAAAAACCAATGGTTCAGCGCAATAATTTAACGATAGATGAAGACACGGTAGACAGGACACGGCCAGATCAGGACAAA